ACTTCTCTAAAAGATAAGGGAATGGCCAAGGAAAATACAAAAATCAATCGTAGATTGTCAATTATCATGATCACAGCCCCAATGGCCATTAAAGTAAGCCCTTAGTGCGAGAGAGGAGCTAGTAGAGAAGTGAAGCTCATAATATAGAGCACCTTTGATGTATCAAATGATCCGAAGAATTGTTGTATAATGAGTGATTCAAGGCTCTAATATAAACTGGCTGACAATGTAGACTACATAAGTAATATTAGGACGGGTCATGGTAAGATAGATGAGGTCCCCAACTAGCTGGCGGTAACAAGTGAGATTATCCAATAAGATGCCATTAGTGGAAGTATAGTGAACATTTAGCTCAATAGAAGTATTTTCAATGTCCTCATCAGAAAATTGAGCTTACGATATCAAATTAGTGGCATACTTGACCTAAGAAAGAACTATACCATCTCTCTTATGGTGGACCTCATGCTCAAGAAAATAGTTAAGTCTTCCAAGATCCTTCATTTTAAATTATTAGCCCAAATATATCATCACTACCTGTGATAATTATATCATCAATATACAATAGCAACAAAACAATACCATGAGTAGTAGAGCAAACAAAGAGAGTTGAGTTATGAGGACTACACATAAAACCTAGTTGACTCATAGTATTACTAAACTTAGTAAACCATGCACGGAGAGCTTGCTTAAGCCCATATAGAGCCAGATGAAGATAACAAATCTTGTCTTTTGTATATTGATACTGGGAGGAGGTTTCATATACACTTCTTCCTTTAGATTGCCGTTTAAAAAAAGAATTTTTAATATCCATATGATAAAGAGTCTGGTGCTTAACAACAGTAATGGTTAAAAAGTTACAAACAAAAGTCATATCAGTAACAAAGTGCTACAAAATAGGCCTTTAGGGCATATCAGTCATATCAGTAACAAGACTCCTTATAATCAGTACCATACTCTTGAGTGAAACTTTGGGCCACAAGTAGGCCTTACATTGCTTCAAAGAGCTATCAAAATGAGTCTTCTTCTTATAGATCTATTGATACCCAACAAGAGTTTTACTAAGAGAAAGATCAAGAAGATCTTAAAAATACATTTCCTCTAGGGCATGCAATTCAACATCTATAGCTTGTTGCCAAAGGGGATCATGGGAGGCTTCCTTAAAATACTCAAGTTCCTAAAATTAGAGAATGATTGAAAAATAATAGTAGTTATTTAGGTAAGAAGGAGGATTTCTTACATGAATAGGTCGAGAGTCCATAGATGATATAGACTCAGTCGGCATGACTTGTGTTAGAGGAGTAGGAGGTGTGACAGTAGGCATATCTAGAGTAAGTGTGGTATCGATCATTGAAACGAGCTTTGTAGAAAAGTTTGTAAATGAGTCACTAGAAAAAGATAAGCAAAAATATCTATAAAAATAAGGGTTGAAGAAGATGAGAATGATGAGAGATCGATTAGAGATGAAAACTTAATATTTTCCTAAAAGACAACATGTTGAGAAATGAAAATATGATGAGAGAGAGGATCCTAACAATGATAATCCTTTTTCTCAGAATCATAACTAAGAAAACAATAAACATGAGAATAAGCTTGAAGTTTATTTATCTCATAAGATGGAAGAAGAACAAAATAGGCACAACTAAAGACTTTAAAAAGACTATAATCGAAAGGATAACCATGGAGACGCTTAAAAGAAGAAATGTTTCCAATAACAGGAGATGAGAGTTGATTGATACAAAAGACAGAGGTTAAGGCTACTTCACCCTAAAATCATTCAGGACAAGAAGAGGAAATGATCAATGCTCTAACAGATCAAGAATATGACGATGTTTACACTTAGCATGACCATTCTGTTCAGAAGTGTAGGAACAATAATACTAAGAAATAGTGCTATGAGAATAAGAAAGTTGAGTAATCTAGAGTCACAATATTTCAAAGCATTATCATGACAAAAAATTTTAGTGACTTTAGAATACTAGTAGCAAATTTGATATAAAGTTCAACTCAGATTGATGTTTTGTTATATAAATCTAGGTAAAACAAAAAAGTCATTAGCAAAAATCACAAATTATCGAGATCCCCCATAGAGGAAGTAAGGTAGGACCGTAAATATCAAAATGAATCAAATTAAATAGAGAAGTAGCAATATAATATCATTTTTATGAAAATTCAAAGGGAGTTGTTTGGCAGTTTGATAAGAAATGCATTGCAAAGACTAATTATGAACATGACCTAAAAAACCACTAGAAATTAAAGGACACAATTTACTCAAAGAAGGATGAGCAAGACAATGATGCCATAAGTCATGAGAAGAATTAGGATTAAATTAGGAGAAGAAGATGTGCAGGCAGCACATAATATGGGAGTAGTGATCTTAGGTAGGTGCCTTGAGATAAGCTCGAACATACGACTAACTTTGTGCCTAATCCCGACAACCTATCTTATCTAAGAATCTATCACAACACAATCGTGTTTATTAAATAACACATCATAACCCACATCAATAAGTTGTCCAATAGAAAGAAGATTGAAGCTAATGAAAGGGACAAAATATGTATCATGAATGGATAGGGAAGGTAAGGAGATAGTACCAATGTGACTAACAGGCATTTGAGAATTATCAACAATGTGTATAAGATAGGTAGTAGAGTTAGGGATAATAGAAGAGAAAACATTTTCCAAACCTATCATATGATTGCAACAAGTAGAGTCAAAATACTAAGTGAATTTACCAGTGAGAGTAGATAAGGTAATAGATGAGCTAGAGGAACTTGAGAAGAGTGTGCACAACAAAGTTTCAAGTTCAACCAAAGAAGATCCTAAAGTAAGCTGAGCCAAATAACATTTTCCCAATTAAGGACGATAATTTCAACAATTCAAAGTAATTGAGATAGATTGCGCAACCTCTGAATGTTTCATTTTTAAGGAAAAGAAGCTTACAAAAGAGAATGAAGGATGAAAAAAATGCCTAACCATAGATTGTAGTGAGGATGGAATAACTCTTACACTAGGCAATGAATCAAAGATCTGACTATTAAAAATAACACACTGGATGTTTCGTAACTGATGACCAAATTTCATCATGATCTAATAGTTAACAAATCCGCAAACATCGATTTACTAGAATTGCCCTATGAATATGTGAAAATAGATTTGAGGTGGATTTGAAGTCGTGACGAAGGATGGCAATGCTGATGCAAATGAAGATTAACACTCTTCAAAAACTAACTTATCATGAACAAAAAATTTCTATAGCTTTGGTACCATGAAAACTATCAGAGATGAGAGAAATAAACTTGTGAAAGATTGGAACATGTTGTATGTATTATTGATCTGAATTGTATATTATATACACTAAGAAAGTAGACAACATAATAATGATTAATAATAATGTAATAATATCAAGTAATATTCCTTAATAATGATTGAGATGTATACATAATAATTATAGAAGATATTTGAAAAATGTTTTAGATAACAATATTGTTGATGTTGTGTCATGACATGTAGTAGAGAGGGAACTTCTGTCATTGGCGATGTTGAAAGGTGCACATATTCCTTGGCCAATAGTGCTAGAAACCTTATGTTAAATTTTTAACATGTTTTGATGGTTTTAGAGGGTTCTAAATACTTCAATAACTTATTCTAAACTGTTTGGGCTTCAATGTGCCAAGTTACGAATGATTTGATGTTTTTACCCAAAAGGAATCCCTTTTGAGCAAAGGCCTTTTTAACTACAAGCCATCCAATTTAATGAATTTAAATGTAAGGACGTGTTATCATTTACATGTTGAGAGCGAATTTTATAAATTCATAACACAAGTCACACCACCAAATTGACTATATTACTTGTTTAATTTCATTATTAAGCCTTGGATGTCCAATGTATGGCATAAACATTTTGGGATTAGATCTCAATTGTTTATATATGGAATTCAAAACGAACTTGATTCCGGAATTTGGTATTAAAACTCCAAAGGATAATTAGATTCACAAACAACAAAGATTGATAGTAGACATGAAAGGTACACAACCCCAAGTGGTTTATTAACTATTCTTAATTTGTTAAATTTACTTTACAAAACACATACATACAACGTTACACTTACACCACATACATACAAAAGGATTAGATAGATGCGACAGTATGCAGGCAAATATGTTTGTAAAAGATGCCGTGCATCCAGAAGAAAGCCCATAAAAAGGGGGTAACGTAGAAAGAAGAAACATGCAAAAATATATAGACGTATTTTCCTAAGCTATGTTTGTAAAGATTGTTTATGTTATCCACAACAATCAATTTCTTGAGGTGATAGGATGTTCAGAAGAATATATAAATCGATAGCCTATTGGGACATCCAAGAGATTTAAAGAGCACATGAACATCCAATTTCTAAAATTTTCTGTAGACCCTGAAATGAAACATTTGACTTTAAATGTTAATGATAAAATTTAATTCGTGTGGTAAATTTAGTGCAAATTGTAGTATTTGGGCCAATGTTATTAGAGTTGTCAGACCCATAAAGTGTAGGAATCGAGACTTGTGATTCATAAGATGAAAAATTTTTCCAATTCCGTGCAGGACCAATTAATATTGACCATCAAAGATTTGTTTGGGCCGGTTTGAACCCTAATAAATCATTGATCAAGGGGAACGTATTTATTAGTTTATAGCTTATTTTATATATAAGCGCGCGCACATCATATTAAGTATTAATTTTTTTTATTTAATTTTCATCTTGCTTTCGTTTCTCTTTCTTTAATGATGAGCTTCTAAGAAAGAGCTTTAACATTGACGCATGTAATCTCCCTTCATAATATATATATATATGCACACATATCTATGCCCATCAATCTGCTACGACCATAAAGACACAGGACCTAATTTCCCAATGAAAGAAAAAAAATAAAATAGGAAATAACAATCATATATTTACCAAAGAACATAACAAATTATCTCACTTTTTTCACTGTACAGTTAAACCATTCAGATACCAAGTCTAGGTTATCCTACTCAACATTTCCTTAACAACCAAAGATCTTGCACGATTGATAGTAACAAGGCATAAGTACACATGCTCTTCAAGTTCCTCTACTTGTTTCCTAAATCCAACCTCACTCTTCCTCATCTCCTTCACAATCTCCAAACCCAACTTCTCCTCCTCCTTCCTTCCCATCCAAAACCTAACCATCTCCTTGTTTCGCTCAATCTCACTGTGAAGCCGAGCCACGAGACGACTCGTGGTATCAAAGTCTCTACTCAATATGTATGTTCCCTTTGCTGCTACATCAAGTTGATCACGAACCTTACCAAGAAACCCAGTACTACTTCTCAAAACCCTAACCCTTTGAGTTACCTTCCTCTTGAAACTCTTCATTGGAAAGCTTAATATTGCTGGTCCCATTATGATTGCTGTGAGAGTATGTGTTGCTATAATTGCAGCAGCGATTGCTATTACTCCACAAGCTAGTGCTGCACAAACAGTGCTTGCTTTCTTCGTGTACTTTATGCACTTGATCTTCCTCACCACATTTTTCCTCATGGCCTTTAGACGTTGAAACACCGACGAGTTGTTGTCATTGATGGTTTGAAAGTTGAAGTTGTCTGGGTTCGAAAATGGGTTTGTGGAAAGGATAAATGATTCAAGCTCGAAAGCAACTAGTTCGAAGTTGTTTGAATCTTCTTCTTGATGGTTTTTGTGTTTGTGTTCATGTTGCTCTATGATGTCTAGTGCTCTTCGTATGAAGAGGTAATTGGAGTGGACTAGGTTGATGCTTTCCAGGAGATGAATGCAAAAGTGTGAAGCTGAAGCAGTAATGTCGAAGTAAGAGAGCATTAGGTGTTTGAGTTCTGGCTTTTGCGAAAGGATTGATGAATCATTAAGAATTGAAGGTATGGTTTCTTGGCCTGGTTCGAGGAGGATTTCGGATAATTTGATGTGATTGTCATAAAATGAAGGTTTGTTAGTGAGTAAGTTTTGAGCTTTGGTAAAGAAATCAGCGTACGATTTTGTCCTCAGAGCCATGCGGTATTCCTCTTGCACGTTGATACTGTCTTCAACATTATTGTCATCTGAAAACACAGAAGACATGTTGGAGTTATAAGTATGTGAAGGATAATTAAATAATGGGATATATATAAATATATATATATATATATATATTATGGACATATGATTAACGCAAATTCATGAAGCATAGATGCATGAAAACGTCGTGGGTGATCCTTAATTAACCTATATTTTGTGCTGCAAATTAATGTCTATATTGTGTTGTGTTACTTGTATAAAACTTGTATTTGGAGCTTTTGTTTGTGAATAATATAGAGCTAAAATTGAATAAATGAAACATACAAACAAACATGCATACATAAATACATATTCGAAAGTAACTAGTTTGAGAAATTAAAGAAGTGGTGTGTTTGATATATCTTAGAATCAGATACGGCGGGCAAGACATGATGATATAGTTTAAATTATACATAAACAAATAATTAGTAATTCTACGGTGATGTGCTAGCTGTTGATACTGTTTTGTGTATCGTGTTAGTGTAGTTAGATTGCTTGTATTTTGTATTCGTCTTAGCGTGATTGCTTTTTAGATGCTATTTATGTATCTCAAAGCTTGACAAACAAAATACACATTAATATATGGAATCCATATTGGCACCAAAAAGAAAAGGAAAGAAACAAAAAAAAAAGGATGGAATCCATTAATTTTCTTATTATTATTATTATTATTATTATTTGTAGAGAATAGATAACAACAACAACATATTGATGTGTATGAAACTTTGCAAGTAGTTGTTCAAATACTTGGTCACACATTGTCGGGCCCCAAAAAAGGATATACTTAGTTATCATACATTTCAAAAAAGGCATGCATATTAAATACAAAAATTAACTTTCAGATAAGAAGACAAGTGAAAAAGAATCCAAGGAACATGCGCAAGAGGTATATATCTGATAATTCATTTGTTAAACTTTGCCTTTAATTTTAACTCAATTATAAAAGGAACATTTCCAAAATGATAAAATAGTTTGGAGAATTTTAGAAGGGTTGATGCAAAAAAAATTATTATTCTAATTCACTTCCTTTCTTAAGATTCTTCGAACAAAATTCAATAAAACTTTTTCTTTCCTTCCACTAACATTCCATTCAAGTTCAAAAGAATAATATTGGGAGAAAATTAATGAATTCAAAGAAAAAGAAGTGAGAGAATAGATGCATGACTAATTAACAATAACTAACAAATTTTTCTATCTTGTTCTGAAATTTTTAATCACCAATCTATAGTAACACAAAATTAAGAAGACAAATAATCCTGGAAACTTGGTTCATCTTTTCCTCCGAACACCCACAAAACTGATGAGGGCATATTCACAGATCATATGTAAATCTCCAAGCATTTCAAAGATATCTATCTATCTGCTATATGAAATATAAAGCTGAAACGTACCTTTGTTGATGACCTTCTTCCCAGCTCTGAATTTTTCCATCATGATCCTTTGTTTTGATGATCTTATCCGCAGAAACTTGATCTGATCAATATTAACTATGAATAATTATTACTAAATCATAAAAAGGGATCTGATCAATGATCATTTATAAATTATAGGAGAGGTCTGTATGTGTATATATACATATGTTATAATCATAACAGACAATATCCTATATGTAGTCTGTTCGGGATGATCCAAATGCTTGTTTATAAAGCCTCACAGGGTTGTTATAAGGATTCGCTCTCAAGTTTTCATTTTTATGCATTATATTCTTCTAATTAATCTCATACAGGGAGAAATATATATAAAATAATTACTTTTCAGGCTTTTCAGGCTGAAAAGCTTTATCTAGCTCTATCCGTTTTCCTTCTTCAATTCAGGACTTTATAGCCTTTTTGGCTTATTTTCTCCCATAAGATTTGTCCCTTTTTAAGTCATTATATGATCTTGCAAGCTTGTATATATATTGTTTCTCAAGTAGCTAGAAGTGTAACATACAATTTTTTGTGTGGGTTTCATTTCAATTATATTATATAGCCTTCTAATATTTGCATCTGATTAAGTTCCATATGTCTAATTTGTTGTAAGTCAACAAAATTTTCTCACCCCTAGAAATGTAAAAGCATATGATTTTACAATTTGAAATGCAATTAATTATGACTAGCTATCAGCTATGTGTCTCAATGGTAATTATTCGCATCAATTTAGTGCATCAAAGATTTTATTGTATTGTTTTTAAAGAAGTAATTTTATGTTGAGTGTGAGAATTAAATTCCTATTTTAATTTGCGCATCATCTTTCTAAACAAGTTTATCTTATGTATGTGGAAATATAAAAATAAAAGCATGAGAATAAGGGTGAGTTTGGTTTAAACCTTTGAAGTGTTGAAAAATCTGCTTGAGCACTAATAAAACTTGACAGTTGAGATCTTTTCTAACCATACTAATTGACTTTTGACAAGTCTAATTTTAATATATGCTTTGTGTGACTTAAAACTGTCCTTTGCGAAATATGTAGAACAATTAACTCAAAACTGGGTTTTGTAAATGGAAACAAAAGTTGATTTTTAGAGAATGAGGTTTTGCAAATGAAAACTGAGTTTTGCTAAGTAGCCAAAGGTTTAGAGCCTCTAATACCCAATTTCTCTAATGTTCCTTGTAAGGTTTCCAAACTTCTAATTTTAATTTTTCCCCCTCTTTTGATTATTATCTTATACATAAAATGAGAGAGACATTTAATATATCTTATACATCATGAAATAGCGCAGTTTTGAATTTTTCATAATTAAAAAGAAATCAAAACTGCACAATTTTGTAGTTGTAGTTCCTATTCAATGTATAGTTCAAATCCGTAAATGTTTATCTCTATTTAATTACAAATATACTATACGATTGAAAATAGTCACTTCCAAATAGATGAGTGCCTTGCAGTCCTACTCATTATAAGCTATGGCGTTATTGGACTTCTCTGTAAAATCATTATTCATATATGTCTAAACGGCTAAACTGTTCTTTGCGTTGAGATAAAATAAATAAACTTGCTTCTATGTTTCCAAACATAAATAGATCAAGTTTGCGCAATTTTAATCTAATTAATCTAAACACAAAATGTGTGAAGAAAAAACACATGGACCAACGGTGATTTGGTCAAGTAGAATAAGCTCAATTGTTTCTTTTAAACAAGATCAAGAGTTTAAAATTTATAAATAGAAATATATATATATATATATATATTGAAAGACCTATCCTCAATTGAGCATGGTGATCTATATTTAAATGACTCTGTAATATTTAAAAAAAGAAAAGAAAAGGAAAAAGCACATGAAACTAGGGTTTACGCACCTCTTGGTAATTGCATGGCCCATTCCAGCTATGGACAAAGTTGTTTCAGAATTAAAAATCAAAATCTTCGAACAGAAGAGTTTTGCTGGCCAAACCTCACAACATATACACGATTGATTGTTATTGTCTCATTATTTGCACACAAGCCTTAGCTCTCTCTCTATATATATAGCTTCCAAACCTCAAAATGGATATAGCTCAAGAGACCCACCATTAATCATCATCATCATCATCATCATCTGAACAAGTGATTGTTTTTTTTTTTTGGGTTCATGCATGTGTTGGTGGTATAAATAACTTAATTCGTCATCTTGTCATTATTAATTGTGGGTTTTGGCCTCTAATTAATTAACCAGAAGACATTGTTATGCACGTATGTGCCAAATGGATAAGTATATAATTGGCTATATCAAGTTATTAACCTAATTAATTATGAAATTAATTTAGCATTCAATGAGACAAGGTATCTTTTAGGGTAATAGTCAGTCAACTTATATATTGCTGATGTTGCGAATGCTACTAGATATTAATTAGATTCATTACTATCAAAAGATCTTACATATATAGATTGATAACCAAAGATTTTATTTGTATTAAATGAACTTTTAATTTCATTATCATGATATTCTAGCTAGCAATACTTTTGAAGGTCAAAATTAATACAATATTATACGTCCATGCAAATCAAGTAAGTTAGTATGTTTTATCTTTAATTTGATATAAAAATTATATCATTAAACTTTAATTTGAACATTTCATATTTCTATTTTTTATTTTATATCCATTTTTAAATTAGTTATTAAAAATTATTTTCATCATTCTACACTCCCTTTAATTAAAATAAATGGTGTATGTCAAAACTGTTTAGAACATAAATTAAAATTGGTAATTATATATAAAAACTTATTAACATTTGGTTCGCTAGAAATAATTATACATTGTTGTTCTCTCAAATATAAAGAACAATATAATAACAACAAAAGAAAAATTACATATTCTAATTAATGTAAGAAAAAAATAATTTATAATATCCAAAACGAGTAGATATATCTCATTATATATAACGAGAAGAATATAAATTTTTCATATTAATTTGATTAAATAAATAAAGTTGTCTATATATACACACACAAACAAACACAAAATTGGATTGGACTGATTGAATTATTGAAGATATTTTTTGAATTAGAATGTGAAGTCATCGCTTAGAAGGAGAAGCTACGTACCTAGCTAGCTAGCTAGTGTTGTGTTATACATGTTGCCAAACTTGAAACCCACGTCCATCAATTTTCTTTCTGTTTTTCTGTCTGTTTCTCGGGAAAGCCAGATAGAAGGAAAATGAAGAAGAAAAACGCATATATTTGTGAGCGTCGTACCCCCAAGGAGACAAGTCTGGTGATGATGATGAATGAGTTAGGAATTATAGAGTGATGCGTATTGAAGAAACCATTTTGAGGTTATACAAAAGATATACTCTTCAATCAACCCATAATTAATGCATGAGTGGTTCCTTCAGAGAAAGAAGATTCCTTAAGACAGAAACGAAATAGAAAAAGAAGAAAATGCACAACATGTATAATGCATGCGTGGAGATTTCAATTTCTGATCAGATGTTTTAGGCAAAATATATAATTACGATATTATTTCGGAATTATTAAAAATAGAGTAGGCTTGGTATATCAATGTTATACAAGCGGGACCAAATGCTAAACCACGTAGGCTAGGTAATCTCAGCTTTTATAATTTAACCCGTTAGACTATTAATAGAACTAACGACATAATAATTAAATAAAAATAATATTATATTTATAAGAAATAAATTCATAATATATCTAGTTTTTAATAAAATAACACAACATGATTGTAAATCAATAATATTATAAATTATAATTTATAACTTGTTAAATATATATATATATATATAGGTAAATCTTTATCACATGAGGTATGAATATGCCTAAAAATATCTGTATTTGTACTTATATATAACAAGTTCTTAACATCTTCCTAAAAAATAATTTCAAATCAAATGATATATTTGTTCAAAAATAGAGTTGGTTTCTAAGAGAGTCATTTATTGAGTTTTTCTTTTTTTTAAATTTTTTACCCTTTTTATATTATGTTTATATTCGTTCAGTTTTCTAAAAATAATTCTAATTTCTAGCTTAACTCTAGGTTTTAGCTTAATGATGGCTTAATTTCAATCCAAGCCAGCTCAACCATAAAAATGATTTCTTGGTCTGAACTAAATTGTTAACAGTTTTAGAATTGGTAATTCGGACAAGCAAGCTGATCTTATTTTAGCCGAGCTCAATTTAGGTCAAGCTTATTTGATCGAACTTAAATTATCTTACCTTATATAAAAAGCTTATATAGTCAAGCCCAACCCTAATATTATGAAACTTTTTAAAAAATATTTTTTCTATTTTTTTGAATCAATTTCAATTTTTTAAGTAACTCTGTTAAACATAAAATATTATTTTAACTTTAAAAGAATAAAAAAATTATCAACTTTGTACTTAAGTAACTCTATTATTATTTTGTTGTATTATACTCCCTCCATTTAAAAATATAAGATATTTTTTGAGGAGTTGGGCATTTAAAAATATGAGACATTTTTAATCTTTTGAGGTGTAATCATTATTTTTTTTTTCAAAAGTGCCCCTAAAGATGAATGACTTTAGATTTATTATAGAATATTTAATAGGAGTAAATATGAAAAGATAGGGTTAGTTTGAAAGCAAGTAATAATTTTATTATGAGGTGAGATTCAGTTAAAAATGCTTTACATTTTTAAACGGAGGGATTATGTAATTTATTAATGAATATTTTCTTTACTTGCAAATCAATGTTATATATATTTAAATATTTCTCTTATCATGATTATATATAAATATTTTATATATTTTAATTAAATTATATTATTTTAATTATGATTAATTCATTCACGATTAGACTACTAACTTAAAATCATTACCTCAATTGGTTCAAATCTTTCAATAACTTTACTCTTCGTTTTTAAGAATATAAGAAAAATAATCATTATATATATAACAAAATTCATTTAATTATGAGTAAAATAATGTTTATTTTTTGAAATTATTTTTCTTTAACTTTTTTTATTGTTTAGCCTATACATATAAGAGATATTTACTG